GGTGGAGCCCGTCCCATCCTAGCATGTCTCTCGTCGTGACGATTGATATTAATATTTTTATTAGCCATAATAAGGAAATAAATCTTATTAGTCAATAATAAGTGATCATATGCCTAATAGTAATATACTTGTGGTCCTAAATATTATAGCAATAATGATTAGTATTATAGCAATAATAATAATGCTATTAACATCACAGTGATGGTTCCTAAATGCTGCTTATCAATAGTATAAAGACCAGTGAAATGTCAAGTAGCCAACATAAAGCAGCAGCTTGGAGCTGAATGGCTAAGAGCACAGTACAGGGGAAGTAAGTCCCCTGCTGTGCAAATACATGCATGCTTATAGACTTTGCACCTATGTAGGGTTGCCAGCCCTCTAGGATTGCCCTGGAGTCTCCAGGAATTAGATATAAATTTCCAGGAGGCTACTGGAAGCCCCCCAGGAGATAAATGACAGGGCATTCATTAAAATAAATATTAAATGTTGAATTCGATTTACACAGTAGTCCAGGTTTTAAAATGTAATAGTAATTTGCATTTGCCTTCCTGACATGAAGTCTATGTACTATAAGCTGTAACAGATACATGGAAGCAGGCGGGCACATCCGTATTGTGTTGCCAGCATGTTGGCATTCCAGAAACCTCTTGGAATAGATTCAGAGTTGGCAACCCCACACCTTTGAATAGTGCTGCCAGCTTCTTTGGAGGCATGTGTTGAGTAAATGCATAACTATTTACAAAATCAGGGCCATAGATGCATGGCAGACATGCAGTTGATCCAAGAAAAGCTGTCAGCTGTAACAATTCTTGCCTCTTACTTCTCTCACCTGTTTTTACTTCTCTCACTAGCTCTTGTCTTGCCTGCTTTTTCCTGGTCCTCTCTGCCTGACTTGCATAGGTCAGAATTACTTTTGAAAGAAGACAATAAAATTGACTAAGGGTACTTGCAAAATGATGTTTAACTATGTTTGGAGGCCACAGGTCAGGAGCCCATCAAGAATCTAAAGGAATGGAAGATTTTTTTTTTAAAGCTGTATTGTAGTTTTTGAGTAAAAAAAGCAATTTTTACAAAGTTAGCTTTGAACCTTGAAGAATCCATGTTTTTTGTTTTGTTTTGTTTTTTAGAAAGTAATAATAGATTGAAAAGGCAGTAACTTGTTCTGTTACTGCACTGCACAGCAGAGGGGACTAGCCAAAGAGCATCAGTGTCTGTGAGATACACTTGCTTATGTTTGGAATGGAGCTGCTTGGGGGAGAGGCAAGGAAAGAAGTGGATTGAAATCAGAGGCAGCTTTGGTGGTCTTGTCTAGGACTGAAATGGTGAGGGTCTGTGTGTGGGAGGAGTTGGGTGGGGTTTGGAGGGGCCCATGTGCTCTGTGGTTGACCCAGAAGTACACCAG